TACAATTAACAAAAACAGTACCAAAACTGAAGGGATATCAGAACATGCTTGACTTCAACAGTCATTGTACTGTGTGCTAGAAACTGAGTATTACACAATTATACAAAGGGTCTTCTAGTCCTTGTCTTTAGAAGCTACACATATCCCTTTTTTTAAAAAAATCGAATGAAAGCATATTATGAACAAAAAATATAAATTTTCTTTCAAGAACCAGCCCCTTTAAAACGAGTAAGATTTCCAGGTACTGGCTAAGATTGTGCCAGATGAGAAAAGACAGTGATAAACAATTAATGGTCTTCTTTTTCCTTGTCCAATAGACTGAAAGAGCTCTTTGATGCAAGAGCCTATGATTCAATCAAGTGTGCATCTTAGGGGACCGGTACAGTACCTAGCACAGTGTGCACTACCGAGGACATCCATAAACATTTTGAGTCTGCATTACTGAAGAAAAGGCACACATTATGTGCTCTGCTCTTGGTTGAAGGTCAAAACCAAATAAAAGACAAAAGACAAAACTGCGTGCTTTAAAAAAAAAAGAATACAAAAATCTAGAGCGATTTGTAAGTCTTATGCATTAAAAAGTGCTTAGTAATCAAAACTCTCAGAAAAATACAAGGCATGGAACAAAGTGTTAGTCTAAGTACAAAAGAGATTTAAAGAGAAAAAATAAGAGAGTTCAGTACGAGCTGGCTGGCATTGTTGGAGAAATCTTCGCGAAAGGAGGGATCTGACATGAGACATAAATAACTGGAGAGCAGCCAAGCCAGGCGTTATTATTCATCACTCGGTGCTCTTGCCTCAAGGCTCAATTGGCACAGACTGTGGTATTCCCTCTCCGTATCACACCGGCCTGTGCCTTCCCCCACGCACGCACATTATCCACTCCTATCACACCAATCCGGGCAAAACGCTAAAGCCACCTTATTTACACGTGCACACACGCACGCACACACAAGCACGCACAACTTTCCTCTTACCGCCCCTGCAAACTCGGCCACAGAACCGGGAAGCGAGCAGAGGAGCGGAGTGCGGAAGCCGCCAACCAGTTCCTCAATCAGTTTGCGTAACAGAAAAAAAATAAAATAAAAATAAAAGACTGGAAAAGGACGTTTCCTCCGGTCGCCCGCAGCGGGGCAACCCAACCGCGCGCGCCGCCGCCGCCAACCCTTCACCTCGTGACGCCCCGGGTCGTCTGGCACTCCGGGCTCCTCACACCTTCCATGGAAACCGCCCGCTGCTACCCTCTAAAAACAGTCCCGCCGCCGCCGGGAGACACCGGGGCGCCCAAGTCCGGGTCCGAGCGACGCCTCCTGCCGGCCGCGACCCGTCACGAGCAGCCACCGCCATCCGCCGCGCCCGTTGCACCCCGGGGCTCCGTGCACTTCTGGGGGGTCTGGGTGAGCATCCCCGGGCTCCCCCTCCCTCCCTCCGCGTCCACGACCTCCCCGAAGCTGCCCCGCCACCCTCCGAGGACGGTCCTGCGAGTCAGTCCCGGGGCTGCGGTGACCGAGCTGCCCTGGGTGGCGCTGGCCGGGTGTCCGGGGACGAGGAAACGGCGAGGGAGGGGGGGGAGAGCGGCGGTGCGGTGCGCACTCCAAAGTTACCACCGACACCGCCTGCAACAACAACAAAAAACCAAAAAACTTCGGGGCTGCAGCCCCGGAACCGCGCGCGCCGGCCGGAACCGTCCCGCCGCCGCCGCCGCAAGCGCCCCGCGCTCTCGGCAAGGGGCTCGCCCTCCTCGCCCGCCCCGGAGGCTCGCGCCCCGCGCCCCGGGGAAGGGGGAAGTCTCCGGCCGCCCCGCAGCCCTCGGGCTGCCCATCCATTCTAGACACACACACACACACACACACACACACACACACACACCTGCCCAGACTCCCGCCGAGCGCAGCCGACCCCCGGGTCCCCACCCTCTCGCGGGCACTCTCCGGAGCCGCCCGCCCTGGGGGGTCCCTCCGCCGCTCGCAGCGCCCACCCCGAGCCCAGTTACCTCGGGCGGGCTGCCCGGAGAACGGACCACAGGCTCTCGGCGTGGCGTGGCGCGGCGGGCCGGGTCTGCGCCAAGCGCTGTGATCCGAGGGCGGGCCCGTCCGTGCCTAGGGGTCGTGGGCGGCCGAGGCGGCGAGCCGCGGGCGGGCCATTCCGCGGACGGAGGGCGCAGAGAGCCGCCGCAGCGCTCCGGGCTCCGGGCTCGCTCGCCTGCCTGTCAGCCCCGGCTCGGCTTTAAGCGGCTTCCGGTCTCCTCCTCCTCCTCCCTCCCTCCCTCTCTCCCTCCCCACCCCACCCCTTACCCCGCCCGGCTCGTCTTGGGGGCGGAGCTTAGGGGCCGAGGGGGGCGGGGTGAGGGGGCGGGGCGCTCAGGGAGTGCCGGGAAGCGGCCCCGCCTACTCCACCTCCCCGGTGCGCGTGCGCGCGAGTGTGTGTGTGTGTGTGTGTGTGTGTGTGTGCGCGCGCGCGCGCGCGCCGGCTCGCCTGGCCTCGCTCGCCCGGCTCGCTCGTTCTCTGGTTCTCCCGCTGGTTCTCTCGCTCGCTGGCTGGCGCGCGCGCCCGCGGGAGGCTCTGCGCTCTCAGGGAGACGCCGCCACCGAGGGTCCCCGAGGGTCTCCGGGAAGGCGAGGCTCGTGTGTGTGTGTGTGTGTGTGTGTGTGTGTGTCTGTGTGTCTGTGTCTCTCTGTGTGTGTCTGTGTCTCTGTGTCTGTGTGTGTGTGTATCTGTGTGTGTGTGCCTCTGTCTGTGTGTGTATGTGTGTGTGTGTCTGTGTGTCTGTGTCTCTCTGTGTGTGTCTGTGTGTGTGTCTGTGTGTGTGTATCTGTGTCTGTGTGTGTGTCTGTGTGTGCCTCTGTCTGTGTGTGTGATTCTCTGTTAGTGTGTGTCTGTGTGTCTGTGTGTGTCTGTGTATCTGTGTGTCTGTGTGTGTCTCTGTCTGTGTGTGTGTGTCTCTGTGTCTGTGTGTGTGTCTGTGTCTCTGTGTGTGTCTCTGTAGGTCTGTGTGTGTGTCTCTGTGAGTGTGTCTGTGTGTGTCTCTGTGTCTCTGTGTGTGTGTCTCTGTGTGTGTGTCTCTGTGAGTGTGTCTCTGTGTCTGTGTGTGTCTGTGTCTCTGTGTGTCTCTGTGTCTGTCTGTGTGTGTGTCTCTGTGTCTGTCTGTGTCTCTGTAGGTCTGTGTGTGTCTCTGTGTCTGTCTGTGTCTCTGTAGGTCTGTGTGTGTGTCTCTGTGTGTGTGTCTCTGTGAGTGTGTCTGTGTGTCTCTGTGTCTGTGTGTGTGTCTGTGTGTGTGTGTCTCTGTGTCTGTGTGTGTGTCTGTGAGTGTGTAAAGGCGGCGCGCCGCGTGGGACGGGCTCCCCCTGCCTGCGGATGGACGCAGGGTCCAGGTGTCCGCGAACCCCGGGCACGCGGTGAGAGCGGAGCGGTCTCCCTGCGCGCGGTGCAGGCGCCTCTGTTGGCCGCTGTCTCAGGAGGCCCCTGGGGATCCGGGGGAAGCTGGTGGCCGCTGCCCGAGCCCCGCCGCCCCTTCCCGGACCCCGACTCAGCCTCTAGGGGAAGCCGGCGCCGGGGTTTGACAACAGAGCGCGCGTTTCACGGCCCACGGACGCCATAGTGACTGACTCATTTACAACTCACCGAGTGTGCGCTGGGGTTAGAGCTGTAGCCTGGTCACCCAGACCCCACGCCTGCCCACAAAAATGTCCATGAAACTGCCATCTGCATTGCAAAGGACAGGTGGAGGGTAACTTCATACATTTCCCGCAGTAGGGAAGAAATGCTATATTAAATTAGTATAATCGGAATTTCAGAAAGATTAAAAGGTCGTAGTTACTCCAAAAATGGGATCCTGGAAAAATAGACGCTAAGAAGAGGTTGTAGTTCCCAGGTTTTATTACAATGTTAAACCAAATTAATGATCATCCAGCGGTGTTGTTTCAAATTGCATCATGACAGGGCCCTCAAACGAAGGCGGGAAAGTTGGACAGAATTCAGAGGCCGGTACTTAAGCAAAAATAAAATTCTAGTTTTAAAAAATTATAATACAGATCATAGTGTTTCCAGATTTTTTTTAAAGTTGTACCAACTTCACCTACAAACTCAGTGGTTACCAAAAACAATTTTACAAAAGCAATGTTTTCAGTAAGTTTACAATTTTATGTTAGGCTGCATTCAAAGTTAATCCTGGGGCACACATACATGTATCCCTCATGTTTCAGGTCGTTCATACCATATTTGGGTTTAAATCTGTCATCTTACTGTTTATCTTTTGTCTCGTCTATTCTGTTTGCTTTTCTTTTGTGCTATTTTTAAAATCTCATTCTCGTCCAACGATTTTTGTTATACATTCTTTATACTTTTAGTAATGTTTCAGTTGCTGCTATGTACAAATTCAGCCTAAAACATTAGTGATTTGAAACAATAGCTGATTTTTTTAAATGATTCCAGACTCTCCAGTAAGGTGTGGTGGCTGGGTCCTGGCTAGTCTCACTCAAAGGCTAGCGTTGCAATTACTACTGTTTCATTATTGACCCAAGCAAGTCACGTGGCCAGCTTCAGCATCTAAGCGGGAAGGTATTTTACATATAAGGCAGTGGGTCACTAAAATTAGGGATAACTTATCTTAATTCAATTAAGGATGCAATTAAGGGTTGGTAATTAGATGTACTTCCAGATCTAGTTTTATTCTTTAAATATTGGTTTCCAGAATGGCGGAACTCATAATCTTTAAAAATATAAAACAAAAAAGGAAGAAGTTGGAGGAGAGAGGGCTGCAGAGACTCACTCAGTAGTTAAGAGTACTGGCTTCTGTGTCCGAGGACACAGGTTCTGTTCTCAGTAAGCTCGTGGCACTGAACAGCGGTTTTGTTTTGTTTTTTATAGCTCCAGTTCCCAGCAATCTGATGCCTCTTCTGGCCTCCAGGGGCATCAGGCATAAACAAGGTACACATACATACATGTAGGCAAAGTATCATATGCATAAAATTAAAGATTTTAAATTTTGGGATATGAGTGTTTAACATTATAGGATGCTCTGTGTATATTTATGTCATTCTTGTACAGGGCCCATGCTAATCTTCTCTTTGCCATTCCAACATAGCATGTGCTTGACAGGAAGTACCGGTAACCCCGTGAGGGCTCTTGGGTTCTGCACTGTGAGCTCCCCACAGGAACGGACTGAAATTTGGGGGCTTTCTAAGAAGGGTAGGAGTATTTTCCTTGAATGAGAAGGGGACAAACTAGGGCCATACAGTTCCTCTTGTCCTTTTCTCCTTTATTAGGAAGATTTCCCCCCTTTTTTTGAGGGTGCCAGGGTGCCTAGCTAAAAAATTAATCTCCCTAGCTCTCATGCAGTATGGGTACCCATAAGGAGACAGTTCTAGATAACGCTCAAGCCAGGCTTTGGTGGCACACGCACGCCTTTAGTCCCAGCACTCGGGAGGCAGAGGCAGACGGATCTCTGTGAGTTAGAGGCCAGCCTGGTCTACAGAGCGAGTTCCAGGACAGCCTCCAAAGTCACAGAGAAAAGAAATGGAAGAAAAGCATTTCTTTTTCTAATACTGAGCCTCTCCTCCCTTCCCGTTCCCTCCTTCACCCTCCTTCCTGACACATACATGGGAATAGTGTCTCCCATCAGAGATAAGAGAGAGCCTACTATGGAAAGCATGAAAATGGAACCCATAGGCTGAGGCTGAGGACGCTTGGAGAGGGAGAAGGAGCCTGGGTCGCTCATGACACCCTGAAACTGCTCCAGCACTCAGTCCTAAAATGAACACTCCTGTCCCCCCAAATAAACCTGAATTTGACTCCACTGCTTCCTGGAGTGTGTAGCTGAACGTAGTCTTGGCTAGTCCATAAACTGCCGTTAAGTAATCTCCTACTGAGTGTTCTTGCTCGAATAGTTTACAACTTAGATGGAAATGACTCTGTGTGTCAGAAGTAGAAGCACCTTCATAAGGTAATGTATCAACTCCTATACCGTTTTCTCCTAAGCCCTGATATCTCAGATTGCTAGATTAAGACACATTTATTAGAGGAAATAGGATGTAGAAAGAAGAAACAATACCCATACCTGAATCTCCTGAAGTCCCATTTTAATGTCTTGATATAATTGTTTTCGCTGCCTTATTTTCAAGTACTTTTTTTACCGTTATGACATTAGTGCATATTTATATTATTTTACCCAATGTTATACTATAAATAGCTTTCCAAGTTAGCACAAGTTAGCAAGGGTGTGGCTAAGTAAGAAAACGAATACATATACTGTGGTAAGTAACATAATATATGCACACTGAGTGGACCTAAAAATATACAGAAGGGAAATTACTAAGTAAGCAGCTGGCTAACTATAACATGTTTTGTTTAACTAGTCTTGTCACTGGGCATGTCAGTTAACTTTTAAAGATTATTATTATTGCATGTTCAGAGCACTGTGTGTGTGTGTGTTTATGGGTGCACACATAGCATATGTGTTGAAATTGGAAGACAACTTTGTGGAGTCGGTTCTCTCCTTTCAACTTTACAAGGATTCTGGGGATCAAGCCAATGTCACCAGGCTTTCACGGTGGCTGTCATCTCGCTGCCCTCAATTCATTACAAAAAGTATTTAATTCAGGTCAATGGATTAAATATGAATGAACATAGAGGGATAATATATGCCATATGGCATCTTAGTGAATGATTCTCAAAACTGGAAAACATAACCATGCGACTATATATGTGTGTGGGGGGGTGTAGTAGACCTTTCATTTGTGGATATGCATTTTTATAAGGCATTTGATTCTTTTGAAATATGCATATAGGATGGATATGTTTTCATTTCCAAGCATTCTTTTTAATGCCAGTTTTCATGATTCTTGTGTTCTGGATTTGCTCAGCATAACAGATCAGTCTCTTGAGAGTACTCCTAATGAACACATTTTACCATAAGAGCCAAGGTTTCTTTCTGAAATTTCAAGTGACTCAAAGCCTCTAGTTCTCGTTTTTTTTTTTTTTTTCTACCGTAAATGTTATCAAGTCTAAGTATCAGTGTCCTGTTGCTTTCGGGTTTTGCAATTGTTAGCCTTAGTTAACTTCCCAACACCCTTGGCCAGGAAAGAGAATTACTTTTGGTTACCACACCAAGTAGGAAACAATGACCAACGTGACCCAGGAGAGCTCAGGAAACACTTGAGATGTGAGAAGGGAGCCTCTGTCCTTTAGTATTGCTGAGCTAAGACCACATGGAGAACACAGCGACTTGTACAAACAGTGAGCCAGGATCTCCTTATCTGAGTACTAAGTTCAAGCTATCATGTTTTCTATGGCTGTGTGAATAATTAATGATTTGGGTTAGCTTAAGGGTTTTTTTTTTCTAAATTTGTTTGGTAACTGGATATTTAAAAGTCATTTTTTTTAAATGACAGAAGATCATTACCTCGTTAAAAAAATATCCCTCAGTCATAATCTCTTCTCTCTTGAAACTCACTTTTTTTCCCCTCTGCCTCTAGTGAGGTAGCAAGTACTTATGTCTGGGAAACTAGGGAACAAAGATCTAGGAGAAAATTAAACATAAAATCCCAGTCCAATGAATGGTAAAATGTTTCAGCAAGTTTACATGCTCTTCTGGTTGTCTGGGATGTGCAGTATAAATTGCCTAATAATCTGCAGACCTTTTTTTGTCTTTGTAGGATTCAGAAAGTCTGGTGAGCTCTTCATCCCATCCAGCGTGGACCTGCTAAGTAGTTCTTGCAGCATATACTGAAAGCACTTTCTAATATATTTGGTCTGGGGCCTTATGAGGTGATTCCCTCAAAGAAGACCCAGATATTTTCCTGATCTCTTATTTAATCGATTTACTATACCTTTTCAAGTATGCATTTGTATGCAGTAGGTTTTTTTTTTTTCCAGTTTGTCATAGTGAAGCTTGTGAACTCCATATCCAGAGCCATCAGAAAAGCCTGGCACAAGTTCTCCAGTCCTGTTCCAGATTTCCTGAATTAGAATCTCAGAGCAGGCAAGGGAGTAGACATTGCTGATCTGGAGGTACTACTGTTCTAAGACTTCTGCATCGTTTGGAACACTTGAGAGTAAGAAGGAGGTGGACTAAAGGTATGGCTAAATAAGAAAACAAATACAAGCCGGGCGTTGGTGGCGCACGCCTTTAATCCCAGCACTCGGGAGGCAGAGGCAGGCGGATCTCTGTGAGTTCGAGACCAGCCTGGACTACCAATCGAGTTCCAGGTCAGCCTCCAAAGCCATAGAGAAACCCTGTCTTGAAAAACCAAAAAAAAAAAAAAAGAAAAGAAAAGAAAAGAAAACAAATACATAAACTGGTGGTGAGAAACAGGTATGTACAGGACACTGCCAAACATATGTAGAAGGGAGATTACTTTTATTGTCAGAAAGGAGAATTATTAGCCTTGGACTTTTTGAACTATGGGTAAGTATTATTCCTTAAAATGTTTAGAAATTCAGTTGTTTCTACTGGGGAGTACATCTAAAACTGGATAGGAATGTAAAACAAGGAACCTACTTTAAAAAAAATGTTTACAGATATGTATCTGAGCTTAACTTGCAAGAGCCGGTAGAAGTTGGATTCCCCTGGACTGGAGTTATAGACGGTTGTGAACTGACTGCCACCCTGGACTGGAGTTATAGACGGTTGTGAACTGACTGCCACTCGGGCGGTGGGAACCAAACCCTGGTCCTCTGCAAGAGCAGCAAGCGCTCTTAAATGCTGAACCATCTCCCCAGTCACAAGAAAACCTATGCTTTTAAAAAAGTGAGATCCTCAAGTAAAATTAAAGGTCTGGGTAAACATGTACACAAATCGTTTCAATTCACAGCCTTCTACCTGTGGAAATCTACCCTAAGGTTATAATTAGGGTTGCGTGCATGGGTTTGGTTACAAAAGCAAATAAACTGAGTAAGTTTGGGTGACTCATCTTCACCCAGTTCAAGACCCCATTCCTCGTGTATTATATTGACAGGAAATATTTTGATTCATAGATACTTTGCATTTTAACTATTTGGCATCCAAAAAAAAAAAACAACATTATTTGTAAAGACATACTCCCCCTTTTTTTTCTTTTTTGAGACAGGGTCTGGCTTCAGACTCACTATGCAGCAGCACCTTGAACTCCCAGTTCTTCCTCTGTCACTAGCGTGTGGGATTCCAGGCTTGGGCCACCACATCTGCCTCAAGACTTCTATAATTGTCACTAAGTAACAGGATTTAGGAACTGAATTCATTGGACCCTCAACAGCTATGTTCTTCAGGTTCATGCATGTAGCTTAAGTTTTCCTTGAGTTTCTACACTCAGAATTGTGATCTTGGCAGAGGGGAGGCATTACCCTGGTGTCTACCATCTACCTTTCTCTGACTCTCTCGCCAGGCAGACAATGTTCAGCCCACAGGATTTCAACCTAGCCAGTACTTGAGAATTACTTGGGCCACTTCACATATGAGTGTGTGTATTGTATATCTGATTTTTTTGTTTTTTGTTTTTTTGGGTTTTTTTGTTTTGTTTTTTGCGAGACAGGGTTTCTCTGTATTGTTTTGGAGGCTGTTGGTCCAGAGATCTGCCTGCCTCTGCCTCCCGAGTGCTGGGATTAAAGGCGTGCGCCACCACCGCCCGGCTGTATATCTGTTTTTAATCTTTACCCAGAGTTTCTTAGACAAGGCCTGTGCACTGACAGGAACCATGTTTGTCTCAACAGGACATACGATGCATATCAGATAGTCAGTAACCCTACTTATTTATTTAATACATATTTTTGAGCATCTGCATTCTGGGTTTATTTATTTTGCACTCCATGTTCTTTGTATGTCTAAGTGTTAAATGGTGTGGCAGAAAACAAATTGCAAATTCTTAGCGATAGATACTCTAGGGAAAACAGGCAGGTTGTTTTCCCCAATGTATTAGATGATGCTAAAAGCTATAAAAGTGTGATAAGATTAGAACAACCACTTCAGCAAACAAGAGCATGTGGGCAATAATTATTCACAGTTATATGTGAACAATGTAGGCTAAATTAAGACTGTCCTGGATAAAAATGTATATTCATCCTACATTCCTACATAAATCCTTAGACTGCTGGAAAGGAAATAAGGTATTGGGGGGAAAAAAAGTCATGTAG